GATGGAGATCATCTAAGCCAAGGGACAAGAAGTGATGGGAATTTAAAAGGTCTTTTTCTAGTTTCTGCTGTCAGTTTTCCATATTGAATTGATAGTATCTAGAATTTAATATTAATTGTATTTCACTAATGGCAATGGCACATGCCACTATTCACTTCCTGAACTAAGCCTTGTGTCACCACTTTATGGCACTATAAATAATTGCCATATAACACTGCAGGATTCATGAGGGACTTTATAGCCAGTCCTAGAACAGCACTCTTTTTTTCTCTGAAAGATGAATCTGGTAGAATGACAAGTGTGAGGACCCTATCCAGTGCCATATCTTTTTCCATTTGCCTTTTCAGATTAATCAGAGGAAATTTACTATAGAGCAAGCCAATGATTTTTTTTATTCTAAATGACAAAATTTGGAAAGATTCCTTAATACCTCTGTTTATTCCTTCACTCAATTTATGAACTAATTTATCAAGCAACTAGTAAGTGCTAAGTGTGAACGCCACTGGGCATGCAGCTGTGAACAAGACACATTGCTCTGTCATTGAATTCACAATCTATGGGGGAAGATGTTGACAGAGTAATCGTAAGTGAGACAAGTGACAGAAAGGAGCAGTAGAGATTGCCACTGCAGGAGACTCTTAACAGGAGAAGATGAAGTAAAGCTTCTCTGGGGATATATCATTTAAACTGAAGAGGGATAGGGAAAACTGTCATGCAGAGGAAATATTTTGATATGTTTCTGGTTTTAATTATGCATATATTTTTCAAATGGATATAATCTTATTTTCCAGTATCTTTTCAATGTTTATTTCAAACATAGTTTAATTGACTGAATGGTATTCTATCAAATGTCTTGACCAAACTAGTTTTGCTACAGTTTTCTGTTCTTTGGCTTCTTGTAGCTGTGCTTTGTACCTGCCTCACTTGGTATTTCTGATCCCAATCCCCTTCACTTTTTTTATTTTTTAAAGATTTTATTGGGGAAGGGGAACAGCCAAGTTATTGTCCTTCATTCAGTTGTGGAGGGCGCAGCTAGCTCACCTCCAAGTACAGTCGCCATCTAGCAGCCTGTCAGCAGCTTGTGGCCGCTCAGCTCAAGGTGCTGTGTTCAGTCTTAGTTGCGGGTGGGCATAGCCTGCCATCCCATGTGGGAGTCGAACTGGCAACCTTGTTAGGAGCACATGCTCTCACCAGCTGAGCCATCC